AACTCGTCCTCGACGCGGTATGGTGCCTGTCCTATGGCCTGGTAGTATTCCGTCAACTGATGGCCGTATATCAGGGGTCGCCCGGCGTCCTCACTCCACCAGCTCCCCCAGTCGTCTGAGAATAGCCGCCCGATGCAGGTCACGTACTCGGGGCCTGCTCGRAGCTCACGGTCCAGCCAATCCCAAACGCACGGAGGCTGGGGCCACTCGTCGTCTATCGAGCGGATCAGCTCTATAAGCTGAACCCTCTCGTCTCCCCAACGAGGCCCACCAGTCGCGAGCGAATAATAGATATAGTCCAGGTCGGCAGGTCTTCTCGCCAAGATCTTGAGATCCTGAGAGGCCAGGTATGTCTCGACCACTCCACCAATACCTCCAAAGAYGCTCTCTACTACGAACGTCGGAACTATCGCCCGCAGGCTCCTCACGCTGTACGGGAAAAACCCGTCCCGTGCTACTACGAGCTCGCCCGTGATATCAAGAGGAGGGCGTCCGTGAAATAGGGCCAACGGGTCGCTCGCTTCCTCCGCTCGGAAAGCAGCTACCTCTTCCCCTAGGTAGCATAGCGCCCTGCTAACTGCGTCACTACTCCCTGTCGTCGCGAGGCCCACCACGGCCTCCCTGACCGCACCCGGCCCCAAATATAAGTAGGCTCTCACTACGCCCACTCCTTGCCCCGGTCGGTGCTCTCTGTACGTCCAAAGCCACACGTCCTCGGACAAGATTAAGGACTTCCACGCAAACTGGCCGTCAGCGTGTCGAATGCTGCGTCCGGAGATCGTGAGCTCGACCAGATCCCCCTCTATGAGTTCAGGGGGCTCTAAGTCCCAGTCAATGGTAGCCCCATAGACCTCTACTTGCCCTCGCGGCCACATTCAACTGGCGGCTAGAGAGAGCGCGGCAAGCGGAAGGTGTAGATTAACGACTGAAATTTCGCGTCGCTTTTCTCACGCCTTCGAGAACAAGCTAGTAGGTTCACCTGAAACCGGGTTACTGCAACGTCTCTTTCCCTTCTCCT